GTTCATATAGACTTTTCCTATGCCAATGTCTTTGAGAGTTGAACCTATCTTTATTTTTTTGTACCAGTTATTGAATTCAGAACCTTGCAGCAAGCAAGGAAGGCACAGTGCCAGTGAGCTAAATCCCTAGGCCAAGAGTTCTACCTATCTTAACTTCCAGTAAGTTTAATTTTTCTGTTTTAATATTTAGATTTTTGATCCAATTTGATTTCCATTTAGTGCATGGTGAAAGAAATCTAGATTTAAGCTTTCGCAGCTTGAAATACAGTTTTTCCAACACCACTTTTTTTTTTTTCTTTCTTTTTTACTGGTGATTGAACTTGGGACCTTGTGCTTGTGAGTCAGGCAGAGGACCCACTGAGTTAAATCCCCAGCCCACCACTACTTATTAAAGAGGCTTGCTTCGACTGAGGATGGTTGGCTCCTTTGTCAAAGATGAGGTAGCTGAATATATCTGGTGTTGTTTCTGTATCTTCTAGTTTATTCAACTGATCCTCAGATCTGTTTCTTTGCCAATACCATTCTGTTTTTATGAAAGTGGCTTTGTAGTATAGTTTCAAGTTGGGGATTGTGAAACCCACTGTTTGTCTCTGTTGCCCAGAATTGCTTTTGCTAGTCTATGTCTCTTCTGGTTCCAAATGAATTTTTGGAGTGGTTTCTCTGTTTCTGTGAAATATACTGGTGGGATTTCAATCGGGATTGCATTGAATCTATATAGCAGTTTTGGAAGTATGGCCATTTTCATTTATTGGTTCTTCCTACTCAGTAACAGGGGATGTCTTTCAATTTTCTAATATCCTCTTGAATATCTTTTATCAGAGTGCTGTAATTTTCAAAGTAGAGTCTTTGGCTTCTTTCGTTAAATTGATTCCTAGATACTTCATTTTTTGTGATGCTATTGTGGAAGGAACTGTTTACCTAGTTTATCTCTCAGTGAGTCTGTTATTTGTGTACAAGAAGGTGATTGATTTTTGTCTTGACCTTGTATCCAGCTACTATCTGTAAAGTGTCAATTAAATCTAGAAGTCTTTCGGTGGAGAGAGATTTTTGGGTCTTCAATGTAGATTATCATATCATCAGCAAATAATGAGAATTTAACTTCTTCCTTTTCTATCTTTATTAGTTTAGTTTCTTTCTCTTGTCTAATTGCTGTGGCTAATGTTTCCAGAACTATATCAAACAGATTGGTGATAGTGGACATCCTTGTCTTGTTCCTGAATTTAACGTGAATGTTTTCAGTTTTTGGCCATTTAATATGATATTGGCTGTTGGTTTTTCATAGATAACCTTTATTAACTTAATATATAGACCATCTATTACAATTTCTGCAAGGTTTTTTAAATCATGAATGGCTGTTGAATTTTGTCAAATGTTTTTTTTTTTTGCGTCTATTGAGAGGATCATATGTTTTTTGTCCTTCACTGTGTTAATATAGTGTGTTACATTTATTGACCTAGGTATGTTGACCCATCCTTGCATCCCTGGAATAAATCTGACTTTGTGAGGATGTATAATCTTCCTGGTGATCCTCTGTATTCTGTTTGCTAGTATCTTATTAAGGATTTTTGCATCTGTATTCATTAAGGAGATTGGCTTGTAGTTCTCTCTTTTAGTTGGATGTTTCCATGTTTGGGAATGAAAGTGATACTTGCTTCCAGGAATGAATTTGGAAGTATTGCTTCCCTTTCAATTTCATTGAAAAGTTTAAAGAATAGTGGCAATACTTCTCTATGTGTCTTCTAAAATTCAGCAGTGAATCCATCAGGACCTGGGCTTTTCTTTGTCACTAAACTTTTAATTGCATTTTTAATCTCACTGATTTTAATTGGAGTGTTTTGTGTTGATATTATTAATCTTGGCATATAATATTTACCTTGAGGTCATTAGGTTCTTCTACACGGCACATATTTATTCTACTTATTTAAATTCCTCTCCTCCTCAACCTTCATGCATTTCCCCTTGGACCACTTCACTTTTTTTTTTTTTTTTTTTTTTTTTTTTTTTTTGGATTTTTGAGACAGGGTCTCACTATGTAGTTGAGACTGACCTAGAACTCACTATGTAGCTCAGGCTGGTCTTGAACTCACAGCCTACCAAGTGCTGGGATTACAGGCATGTACCACCACACCTAGCTGGACTGCTTCACTATTAAGATTCATCTCCTTGTCCCCATCTATCTATCCTTTACTATTCTGTGTTTGCACTTTGCCTTACTCAAGTGAGAGGTGCCATACAATGCCTACAAACTACCAATAAACTTAATGTAAAAAATTTTAAGCTTGTATATCTGGTTTATTTCACTTATTTCCTACATTCATGTTCCTACAAGTGTCTCAAATCTGTCATCTTTATACCAGAGCAGTATTTCATTATATGTGGATACCACCTTTTCTTTATCCATTCATCCTGGCTGTTTCTAGGATCTAGCAATTATGAGCTGTGCTGCTATAAATATAGTTATGCATTATTGCTGTAGTATGATGTTTTAAGCTCTTTGGGGAAAGTTGCCTAGCAGGGGATCACTAGGTCACATGGAATTTTTAATTTCAATTCTTTGAGAAATCCCCATACTGATTTTTTTCCTCATTGAGTTTATTGGTATATTTTCTCATAAAATGTTTCAAAAGCAAAGTTTAAAAGGTCCCAAGTTAAAGGCTATTTTTAAAAATCAATGTTTTTTTTCTCATTGAGTTTATTGGTACATTTTAGGTGTATAGTACAGTTGCATTCATCATTGGGATCTTGTACCTTTACATGACAGATCTTGGTTCTCATTTTTCCCCTTGTCTCTGCCCTCCCTTCACCCCCTCGTCACCTCACCATTTATAAACACTTTATATCCATTTTTTTCATTTTCTCCTATTTTTTTCTTTTCCCTTATTACCTTTCCCCTACCCTTCCCACTTCCATACTGATTTCCATAATGGCTGTAATAGTTTACATTCCCACCAATAATGAAGAAAAATATTTCTTTTTCACTGCAGCCTTGACAGCATTTGTTCATTGATTTCTTAATGATTGCTATTCTTTCTGGTCAAGATGGAATCTTAGTGTTGTTGTTTAAATATCCATTTCTCTCTCTGTCTCTCTTTTTTTTTTGGTACCAGGGATCAAACACGGGTCCTTGCGTTTGCAAGGCAGGCAACAGAGCCACTGAGCTAAATCCCAGGCAGAATATGCATTTCTCTAATGGCCAGAGATGTTGAGCATTTTTTCCTGTACTTGTTGATCATTTGTATTTCTTCCTCTGTGAATTTTCTTTTCATTTCTTTTGCCCATTCCTTGGTTGGATTTTAATTTTAGATTGTTTCGTTTGGCTTTTTTTTTTCTTAAAGTTCTTTGAATATTGTAGGTATTATACCTGTCTGAGAAGTAGCTGGCAAATTTTTTTCCCATTGTGTAGGTTGTCTCTTCACTCTACTGATTTTTTTTTCTTTTTTTTGTACTGGGGATCAAACTTGAGCCCTTGCACTTATGAGGCAGGCAGCAGAACCACTGAGCTAAATCCCCAGCCCTCTACTGATTCTTTTGCTGTGGAGAATCTTTTTAGTCTGATATAATTCCATTTGTTGATTCTTGCTGTTCTTTTGCAATTGAGGTTCTGTTTAGAAAATACTTTCCTATACATATGTCTTCAAGCGTTTTACTTATTTTATCTTTCAGTACATTTAATGTTTAGATCTTGATTTTAATTTTGTAAATGGTGAGAGATAAGGGTCCAGGTTCAATCTTCTGCACACAGATAATAAGTTTTCCTAGTATCACTTGTTGAACATGCTATCTCCCCTCCTACATCTGCTTTTGGTCCTTTCACTGAAGATCAAATATGTCTGGGGAAGTTTTTTTATCCTCAATTCTGTTCTCTTGATTCATGTGTCTGTTTTTGTTCCAATACAATGCAATTTTTATCACTAGTTCTTTGTAGTATAAATTGGAGTCAAGTATTGCTATGATTCTTGCTTTGCTCTTGTTGCCCAAATTTGCTTTTGGTATTCTGGGTCTGTTCTAGCTCCACATGAATTTTAGGATTGCTTTTTTTGGGGGGGGGAATCTCTAAAGTATGTGATTGGTATTTTTATTGTGACTCTTTTTCAGAGTACTCCTTTTTCAGTGCAATTTTCTTTGTAGAAATCTTTCATGTCCTTGGTTAGGTTGATTCCTAGGTATTTCATTCTTTTTGAAGCTAGTATGAATGATATTATTTTCATAATTTCCTTCTCATCCCATTTGTTGTCGGTGTAAGCAAATGTTAATGATTTTTTATGTTAATCTTTCATCCTACTACATTGTTGAAGTTTTTTAATTCCAAGGACTTTTTATGGAGTTTTTTGGCATCTTATGTATAGAGTAACAAGTCATCTGCAACAAATACTAATTTTATTTCTTACTGTTTTATTTCTTTCTGTTGTCTAGTTGCTCTGGCTAATGTTTCAAGTACTATTTGAGTAGAAAAGGTGATAGTGTACATCCTTTTTCTTGATTTTAGAGCGAATACTTTTAGTTTTTTCCCATTTAGTATGGTGCTGGCTATTCGTTTGTTATATACAGCTTTTATCTTATTTAGGTAAGATCCTTCTACATCTATTTCCTTCAGAGTTTTTGTCATAAAAGGGTGTTGGATATTGTTGAAACCATTTTTTGAATCTTGATTTTTTAAAATTTTGTTTCAGTTTATGCGATACATCACAGAGAGTGATAACATAGTGCCAATGTGAACTTCAACCCTGTATACCTCAGGCTGAATCGGCTGAACCTGACCTCTGACTGCAAGATCTGTGTCTGTGTTCACTAGCCCTTGCCTCTCAGTGGAACTCCCCCGAGTCTGCTCTCCCACTGCTGGCAACCTCTGGTCGCTGTCTTTCCTTCATTCACTCTGGGAACTTAGCAGTTTGAAGCTGCCAAGGGGCTGATCTGAAACCTAAGTTTAAATACTTAGCCCTTCTCTCCAAGCATGCTCCCCTCAGCTCTTGCTACTCTATTGTGGCTGCAGGCACTTTTACCGTGGTCATTCACCAGCTGTTGACTCTGGAGGATCACTCTGGAAACAGTGTCATGCATTTTCCTTGTTGGTTCCAACCGTAAATGATTCTTTTAGTCCCAGTGTAGTTCTCCAGTTCTCTGTGAACTAAAAAGTTGTTCGTTTCACTTTACCTCCCAGCTGGTGAATATCAAATTGCACAATCTCTCCTCAGTGATGTGATCTATTTCTTCTGTATCACTTAGTTGCATTTTTGTCTCCTCTGTCATTAATCTCATGGTTCCTGGATAAGCTCCATTCGCTTCAATCATTCCCCAAGCTATTGTTTTCCAGACTCCAAACACTTTGTCCAGGAGAAACTGAGTTGCTCATACTCACTGCTCTGCCATTTGGGGACACTTAATTCTGAACATGACCATGGTATCCCATGCCTCTGCCCACTTAGTTGGCCTAGCTGACTTATGCCTACCTAGCTGACCTAGCTGACCTAGCTGCCCTAACTGCCTATGAGCTGGGGCTGGAACACAGTGTATGGGACACATTTCAGAAGTTGACTCTAATAACCAAAATCAGGTCGCCAACACCCAACAAGTCACAGAAGCTAGTGGGGAACAAGGTGGGACTCCATACAGGAGAATTAGCCACACTTCACACAATGAAAAAATGCTTGTATATGAAAGTCTTAACACTGAACACCTAAGTGTGTAAAACTATTTGGAGATAGGATTTCAAAAAGGCAATTAAATTAAAATAAGATGTATGTTTTCAAAATTTTCATTGCAGTGAAGAAACTGTAAGCTTCACTTACATTTTCTATTCAAGGTTACTGCAGGTATACACCTAGCAAAATTGACATTTCAGAATGTTTAATCTGGAGTCATTTTGAGAAGGGGTTAATTAAGTTTGAGTTACAGAACAACTACAGAGCAACTATACTTAAAGGTTTCTGGAATTACCCTACCAACAGAGACAGGGTAGGAGAGAGCTACAAGGGACAGTTGTGGAGAGGGTACAGGCTGGACATAGATCACCTGAGATGTTTGAGCTCAAGCAAGGAAACAGGAGTCTCACCTGCTGAGTTGAGAAGTCAGAACAGTCTTGTGTTGCTTTCCAAGGGGTCTAGGTCTGAAAGTGCTAGCACTAAGTCCAGCAGTCTACTTGATACCCATGCTGACCTGCCTACATCCAACACAGAGGTTAGTGGTCTGTTTCCTTTCTTCATCTACCAGTAAGACCAGGGATATACCTCACCTTAGATGGTTGCTACAGCCTGGTATGTACAGACAGAGGGGCTGTCTGCAGCTGGAGGGGGCACTTTACAAACCCATAGGCTGTAAAGTTAGGTGGAACAAGCTGTGATTTGAGACGCACAGAAGCACACATAAAGTAGGAGAGGCTAGAGTGAATATAGACTTAGGGAAGATACCACTGACCAACTAAGCCCAGTGGGAATGATAAGGCATGATTAATCATTCACACACAAAAATGTGAGTGTGGAAACAAAACGGGTCTTAGTAGTTATTCACTATACCTTCCTCATATCTGTTGGGTACCAATACCACACACCCTGAAAAAAACTACTCAATGAATAATACAAAGGACTGTTTTTGGACTCATTTCCTCCAGTGGATCTTTGGGATTTTAAGTTTTTTGCTTTTTTTCTTTATTTTTATACTTTTATTTATTTTGCTCTCTGTATTTTTCTTCTATTTCTTGTGTACCCTTTTATACTTTTATCTAATTTTGCTAATTTTCTTTAACTCCTTAATAAGATCCATTAATCTCACTTCTCTCCTCATTTTCCTTTTCTTTTTCTTTTCTTTTTTTGGTACTGAGGATCAAACTCGGGACCTTGCTCCTCATCTTCCTTTTCTTTATTTTTAAATTTTACTTCTTCCACATTCCCTTTTCCTACCACCTCAATTTTACTAGTGTTACTATTATGCTTTATTAATATTTAGACATTTAAGCAAAATGGATGAATTACTGAATAACAATATCAAAACTGACCCAAAAGATATAATAACCCTGAATAATCTGTTAACAGTACTGAAATTGAAGCAGTAATTTTAAAAAAAACTTACCAACCAAATAGATTGCTTCTGAATTGTACAAGAACTTCAGGGAATATTTAATACCAATACTCCTCAAACTCTTTAGTAAAACTGAAAAGGAAAGAACACTACAAAATTCATTCCTGGAAGCTAGCATTTCCCTGATTCTAAAATTATACAAAGACACAACTAAAAAAGACAACTATAGGCCAATCTCTTTAATGAAAACAAATGTAAAGTTCCTCAACAAGATACTGGTAAACAGCATGGAATTAATCCACTTACCTATAAATGCCTATATACTAATTTGTTTAATTTATACTACTAGTTTATCTTAGATAACTTAAAAGAAAGTTTTGTTTATTGTTACTTTTTTGAAGAAATATTTTGGTTTATATCTTTTATGCTGAGTAACTACTTTGAATATGATATGCATTGTATTAACTATTGCTATTCTCTTATTTTGTTATGAAATTTTGTTTTGTTTTTTCATTAAAAAAAGTTATAAAAAGATACTAATGCAGGACCAGGGATTTAGCTCAGTGGTTCTGCCTTGCACTTGCAAGACAGGCAGCAGAAGCACTGAGCTAAATCCCTGGCCCCAAAGATCTAAATATTAACATACCTCATAAGTAGCCCAGAAATAATGTTTTGTTTCCCTTTGGATATGGAGGCACACTGCAAATGAAAGGCTATAGAAAGAGTCATTGAACAGAACAGATTAAGCAAATATGTAAGATAAAGATATTTGGTAGTTATTGAATGAATGGCATCAATATTGTTAATAATAGTGGATATTGGATAAGGAGCTTTTGATGGGTGAGACCATAACATTACCATTGTAGTAAACTGCTACAAGGTGCCCCTCGATTTTTTAAAATAATTTTATTGGTACATTTAAGGTATACATTATAATGACATTCATCATTGGATATTTGCACCTTTACATAATCCATCTTGGTTCTTATTTTTACCCCATTACCCTGCCCTCCCTTCCGCCCTTCCACCCCTCCCTACCTACGAAGACTTTGTTTCCACTTTTTTCTTTTTCTCATATTTGTTAGATAAAAGAGCCAAAAACCAAGACCAGACCAGAACCATAAGAAGCCCTTTGTTATGGGGAGGATCTTCTGGGCTGTCTCTGAACAAAGAAGAGAAAGCAACATGGCAACACAGGGAGCTTCTTTTATAGGAGCAGAGTGGGGTTAGCCTAAACTGGGGTGGAGTTGAGTGAAATAGTATTAAGAGATTGGAGGAGCCTGTGACATCACTAGCTGTTAAGAGTTAGCAAGTATTAGACTACTCTTTTGGTGGGAGAAGAGGCATGATGGGAAAAAGAAGCCTGTCCTTTGTTCGGAGACATTTTAACATGGAGGCTGCTAGTCTATGTGGCAGCCATTTTAAGGCAAGGGAAATCTAGCAATATTAATTCAATTCCCTTCTTTTCCCCTACCCCTCCCACTACCCCTTCTGCTATGCACCTTTTTTTTCTATCTCACATTATCTATTATACCTTTTAGTCCTTATTTACACTTTTAGTTTCTCACACTAGAGAAACTATTCGGTATTTACACATATGTGTCTTATTTCACTTAAAAGTATCACCTCAAAGTGCATCCATTTAGATTTAAATATCTCTAGTTTCTCATTCTTTATGGCTGAGTAGTACTACATTTTATTTTAAAAACGCATTTTCTTTATCAGTCTCTTGTTGGCCCCTTGATTTTTTTTTGTTTGTTTGTTTTTGTACTGGGGATTGCACCTCAGGTCCTTGCACTTGTGAGGCAGGTGCCAGAACCACTGAGCTAAATTCCTGGCTCAGCCCCTTGATTTTTACATGTATTTATTTATTTATAAATTTTATTTTTAGATAGGTGTGGTAGTGCACACCTATTATCCCAGCACTTGGGAGACTGAGACAGAAGAATGAAATGAGCTTGAGGCCAACCTGGGCTACACAGTGAGTTCAAGGCCCGTCTGAACTACTTAGTGAGGCCTTCTCTCAAAAAAGAAGAAAAGTAGGGCTGAGGATTTAGCTCAGTGGTTCTGCTGCCTGCCTAAAAAAAAAAAAGAAAAAGAAAAGGAAAAATTTTATGATTAAAAGCAGGCAAAATTGCTTTGTCAAATGGAGGAACAGTGCGGATAATTGGTACTTACTAAATTCGTATTAGGTAATAAACAATCTGAAGGCCCCATTTTAGCTTACATAGTGCTGTATTAAATTTCTTTTTTTTTTTTTTCTTTTTTGGTTTTTGAGACAGGGTCTCACTATGTAGTTGAGACTGACCTGGAACTCACTATGTAGCCCAGTCTGGTCTCAAACTCTGAGGGATCTTCCTGCCTCAGCCTCCCAAGTGCTGGGATAATAGGCATGCGCCACCATGCCTGGCTATATTAAATTTCTTTTTTTTTCTTTTTTTGGTACCGGAGATTGAACTCTGGTCCTCGCGCTTGCAAGGCAGGCCACCAAACTGCTGAGCTAAATCCCCAGCCCTATATTAAATTTCTTGATGGAGGCTTCATGTGATCCAATTTTCTCAAGTTGACTTTTAAGTGCCAATGAGTTACTCTGACATTGTTACTCATTAAGTCAGAGACTTGATATGTAATATAAAAGATTTGACAGAAATAAGCATTATGAGGCCAGGAGTGGTGTTGCACGCCTGTAATCCTAGCACTCAGGAGGCTGAGGAAGGAAGATTTCCATGAGATTGAGGACATCCTAGGCTACATATTGAGTTCAAGGAGAGCCCAAACTACATAATAAGACCTAGTCTCAAAAAATGAAAGAGAAAGCGAGAGAGAACGAAATGTCAAGGTTAGTCAAAGCAACCATTAAAGGGAGGAATATCCAACTTTCTATCTTATGTAACAAACTTAAAAATTGTACAGGATCAATGTTTATATAGTGGTATAACTGTTATGATCTTCCATATGGTTAGTACATTATCTTTTGTCAATTGATGTAATTTAGAAATTACTAAATATCAACCTATATGGTGGAAGAACAAAACACATTCCATGAGTTTTTCAAGCTTTTTAAAAATATAAATTATTTAATATATAAATTGGTATCTAAATTGTGAATTTGCAATCCCAGCAAATGGAAATTTGTTTTAATTTAGATATTATTTGTATATAAGGAAAATTTGTCATATATTTATGTTAAATTATTGTATGTACATATAATTCCTTTTTTACCTTTCTTTAATCTACTGGTGTCTAGGGTTTTATGAAATAATGTGTAATCTAGGGCTGGCATTATGCATGTTGTTCACTCAATCCTTAAATTTCTTTTTTTCCTTTAGATTTTCCCCACCTGATACTGTTAACATTTTTTCAGGCTTTTAGCTTCCTAAAGGTGACATATTAATTTGTCTTTCTTATTGATCAGAAGAAAAGGGGAAGGAACAAGGGATTTTTCTGTCTCTAGGCAGTTGTCTGTCCATCAGTCCTGTCCACCCCCCCTACTTCTGCCACCCCCACAACAGAAGGAAAACCACTCTTTTAAAGCAAAATCTTTAGTTTACCTTCTATACCTAGGTGGCTATAAAAGTTTTTCCTTTCTCATGGAATGTTTACTTAACATACCTGGGATTCCTAGTTGCTCCACCTTTGTGGTTCCCATTGTCTCTATTCATAGGCAGCATTTCCCGAATTTTTCTCCATTTTCACTTGATTTCCTAAGAAAGTCAAGGCCAGCCTGAACTATACAATGAGATCCTCCAAAAAACAAATTTAAAAGGTTACATACATTTTACTGTATAAATTCTGGATTTCCAGTTGGCTAAAATTGTGGATATTTGTGCATGTATAAGTTATATTAAAATATATAAATTGTTATTATATCTTTTCCCCGCTCCATATAGACATATTTTGCATAACTTGTTCCCTCCTGCCTCCCTTTTTTGGATGGCTTCTCTCTTTTTTCTTGGACTTCAAGCTGCCTATAGGCATAGAGCACAGTTGTCCCTGGCTGAAAACTCAATGTGGACTCTAGTCTAAGTTTTCAAAAATGGGATGCCCAAGGCCCCTGTATCCTTGCCTCTAGGCATTCTTATTCCTTTTCCAGCTTTCCCATATGCCTTCATGGAGTGGGGTCTGCAAAAGGAGATCTGACAGACTCTCCTTGGGACAGCAGCTTTCCCCTTTGTATGAAGTATCAGTAACTTTTCATTGCCTGGTATTGGTTTTAGTTTTCTCTAATCTCTTGTTTGTTTCCACAAGTATTTCCTTGTTGTTTCATAATTAAATTCTGATGGTCCTGAGCAGCTCAGTCCACAGGTGGCAGCCTCCCTCTCTTGGACTTTGAGGAGCCTGGTTTATTTTCCAGAGAGTGCCAGTGACCTTATGAGTATTTTGAGGCTCCAGGTCATTAGCATAAGGCCTTTAGTGTGAGGGTAAAAGAGAACTTTCAGTTGAGATCCATGCACATTATTGATTTAGTACCTTCTGTGAAATTCATGGTATCCTCAGGGAGATTAGTCAGGGCCACAGTACAGTATTCTCTGCCCCTTTCCCATCATATATATATTTGTTTGTGTGTGTGGGCGTGTGTGTGTGTGTGTGTACTGGGGATCGAACTTGGGACCTTGGGCAGGCAGCATAACCGCTGAGCTAAATCCCTGGCCCTCCCGTTTTATTAATCACATTGTCTCTGGTCTCCAAAGGTGTGCTCTACTGTACCCACTGTGTCAAGGAGCGAATTTCAATACTAGGAAGGCAAGTTATAATACAAGGGTTTACATCAAGTACATATTTTTTAAGACAGGGTGTATTATGTTCCAGACTGACTGCAAGCTCCCCATGTAGCCCATGCTGTCCAAGACCAGGCTCCTAATGCCTCAGCCTCCCATAAGCTAGATTACAGGCATGCACCACCATGCTCAAATTCCAGAACATTGTTAGCTTGTGTCATCCCTGGTTCCTGCCTTGGAACCCTCATGCTAACCCTGCGTAGCCCCACCACCACCACCCCATGAAAGCCTCCAAAGAGCACTCTCTTTACTCAGGCAAGCTGAGATGAAGAGAAAAAGAGCAATGCCATTTATATGTACCACAACTTGTCAGTGTTGGCCTGTGTGTGAGAAAGAAGAGATGGGAAATCAGCAGTCCAAGCAGCTTTATTGCTAAACTAGAGAGGGACCTCTCTGTGTGAGCAGAAAAGAGAAGGTGTCTCTTACATTCTAAGATCCTATTTAATAGCATTTTTGTAGGTGTTTGAGGGGTGGGTTGAATAAAATTGGCAGGCTTGTGGCTTGCTGATGTGACCTACTTGCTCTGTGACCTACTGACATGTCCTCAGTGATTTCCTGGCATGTCCTCTGGAGACTGCTCAGGATCTAAGTAAAATGAAGCCTATGTTTCTCTAAGATGGTAGGTGGGCTCATTTGAACTAGTGGTGTCCCTGTGTGTCTCTAACATTCCTATCTTTAAAGGGGTGTACAAAAATGGGTTGTCATTCTTTTCTTGGCTACTTCCTGCTGGGAGGGGGTGACAAAGGATTTTTTATGTTTTAGAGAAGGAAGGACATTTGGAGGTGTTATCAAGTAGTTGCCTAAGAGATAGCCAATATTCATTCCTGAAAATATCTTTTGAATTGATTATATAGGGAAGAGAAAGAAGGAAAAGAGTAAGAAGGATTAAGGGGGCCAGGAGGGGTAGGAGCCAATGAAGTGGAAAGGGAACATATCATTGGAAGAGCATTCAAAGAGTTTGGAGATGCATTCATGAAGGCATTTTGCCCCATGTTTGATGAGGCTGGTATAAACGCAGCATTCTTCTTGGAGAAGAGCACATATGTTGCCCTGTGAAGGTGTTAGGAGATTAAGGTCTCTACAGTTTTGGAGGACAACTGAAGCCAGGGAATCTACTTGTTATTGCAAATATCCCAGTTGGTCAGAGACTTCTTGTAATCCCTTGATGAGTTCTTTTGACAGCCTGGTCACCTCTGAAAGAGAGACTCTCAGGCTCTGATCCCCATTCCATTTCCTGTGTTCATTCCTAGGGTGACCTTAAGAGGACTAGCTGTATGATGTGTTGTACCTTAACATGTGTTATTGAGGAGATAGGGTTGGGTAGATTGAATATTGCTAAGGAAAGAGTGGGAGTGAGGGGGCCTATGTACAGGTTGTGGTCCAGTTGGTAGATAAAAAAATGTATACTTTGCCTCCACACACCCAGAAGATTCCTATCTCTAGGCAAAAATATCCCATGAGATCAAATCAGGACAAGAGGAGGGAGTCTGGGGGTTGATTAGGAAGTAAATGTCAGACTGCCTCAAATTTGTGCCATATATGGAAGGCAGAGCTAAAAGTTGCAGCTGTAAAGGAGGAAGGGGGTAAGGCTGGTTGTAATATTGTAGAATCTTCTTGGCTAAGAACAGCAAATCTTTGGTTTTGGAAGACTCTACCATTAGGAGTATTGAGACATTTGCTTTTGGGGGCACCTCCATGGCCTAAGGGAGTATGGTTCAGGGGGTCCTTTCCCCTGTCTTTACAACATTCAGATGTGGTAGTGTTTAGACTGCCCTAGAAGGAAGTGTATTCAGTTCACCATAAAAGAGTTCCCAGATGGTTAAGTTGTGGTGATCAGAAGGTTGGAGGAAATGAATAGTAGCTTTGCAGAGGGAGGGGCCTAAAGAGCTGATTGGGATAAATTAATCTTGTTTGGTTTGAGTAATGCACAGAGGAGCATGTTGGGTCATTTTGGGTTATGACCTACTGCAGCAGTTAGTGAGAGTTTAAGACTAGTCTGATACCCGTTAGTGTCCCCAGGAGTCTGATATCAGATCTTTCACCTAGGGTTATGACCATGGGACTGGTAGTCTCAGTGAGGTGTAGTCATTTGTCAGTTTGCAACAGATCGTTGAGGCCAAGCAACTTACCCCAAAGACCTCTGCTCAATATACAGAGCTAATAGCTCTTACTGGGGCACTGATATTAGGAAAAGACAAAAACCTATATAGCTATTCAGACTCCACATATGTCTTTTTGGTGCTATATTTTTATGCAGCAATAAGGAAAGAAACAGGTATACTGGACCAGGGATTTAGCCCAGTGTTTCCATGGCCTGCATTGCAAGCACAAGGTCCTGAGTTCAATCCCTGATACCAAAAAAAAAAAAAAAAAAAAAAAAAAAAAAAAAAAAAAAAAAAAAAAAAAAAAAAGGCGGAACTATTCAGACTCCACATATGTCTTTTTGGTGCTATATTTTTATGCAGCAATAAGGAAAGAAACAGGTATACTGGACCAGGGATTTAGCCCAGTGTTTCCATGGCCTGCATTGCAAGCACAAGGTCCTGAGTTCAATCCCTGATACCAAAAAAAAAAAAAAAAGAAAAAAAGAAAAAAGAAAAAGAAAGAAAAAGAAATAGGCTGACTGACTAATAAGCAATAGATTATAAAACACAAGCAAGAAACTCTACAACACTTAGAAGTAGCAAGAGATCCCAAAGAGACATGTCTAAAGTCTCCCTGGGAAATAAGCTGCTAGGCAAGAAGGGCGCCCTTACCACCCCCTTAAGACCTTAGCCTTATTCACAGATCATGAGTAATCATCCTGTTTCTTCCTCAAGGAATAGTAACAAGGCACAAAAATCCTACCTGGGAAATGGTCACTAGAATTTTCACAGAGCTAAAAAATAAGGTATTCCTGACAACATATGGAAGATCTGAGGCTCCTCTTTAGAAAGCAAGACTCCAGGATTGCTGTGAATGCAGATCAGTACAGTTACCAATAACCCTAATTCACCACAGTTTAAATAGGTACTTGTGTTGAGGCGCCTGTTTTAAATTAGATCCATTATGTGAGTAATCTTGCTAACAATGTGGCTCTCAGGCTCTTGATAATTTTTCTAACCTCTCTCCTTGCCCTACTTTAAGCATGAAAATCTGACATGATTCTCATATTTGGGTTCTACATCTCCAACATAATAGTAACTTTATTTCTTCCATCACACAGACAGCTCAGTGATCACTAATTCTTTTCTCATTGTCTAACATTTTTTTGTTCAACCCAGCCAGTGAGCCAGAACATCCCAAGGCAATTAGAGAACACATAATCTCCAGTAGGAATGGTCTGCACCCTCTTTCACCTGGAAGAAGAAGCTATAGAAGATAGAAGATCCTTGCACAGAGTCACCAAAGAGTTCCCACGTGGACTTCTAATGAGAACTCTAGCAGGTATTTCATAGGATGGCCTAAACCTGATAGCCTTATGAGTGGGTGATACAAAAAGGACAAAAAAGGAGATTTTTAACTGTATTTTCTCCTGAATAGTGGCCCACTCTGAAACTATGTGGTGTACTTCTTTTCCTACTTTAACATGACTCAAACTCACTTGGTGGAGCCTGTTTCTTTTCCTACCTTTAATCAAACCTTGCAAGTGTTTGTGTTTCTCTTGACCAATTCTTTGCTCAGAACAGAAAGGACCTAGAAACCACCTCCAAAGTGAGACTCCAGTACCCCAAAACTTGATAACATGCTCTTAGAACCCGTGCATTGTACTTCTTTTCCACCTTCAGTAAAACTACATTCTTGCCTCCTTTTCTGTGTCTTGTCTAATTCTTTGTTTGGTATACAAAGGACTAGGAAGGAGGACTTCCACGGCCCTCATGTGGTAACATATCCACCTAATTTATTTATTTTTTTTGTACCGGGGATCAAACTCAGGGCCTTGTGCTTGCAAGGCAGGCAGCAGAACCACTGAGCTAAATCCCTGGCCCCAAACTAATTTAATTTTTAACAAGTTACCTCAATGTTTCTCACAAAACAATAAAACATATGAAAAGAACAAGGTAAAGTTTTCCCAAACCAATTTTTGGCTTATGTCATGTAGACTCAAAGACATTTGGGTTAATGCTTTCCTAATGACTCATGATTTATTTTTAAATTAATCTGGTAGGGCCAGGGATTTAGGTCAGTGGTTCTGCTGCCTGCCTTGAAAGCACAAGGATCTGAGTTCAATCCTCAGTACCAAAAAATAAATTAATTAATTAATCTGGTACCATTTCAACCATACTCATACACAAAGACATACATAAACATATATGATACACAACAAGAACATGAGCGTATATAAAACAAAGACTTAGTTTTATAATTTTCTAGTTTTTGAAATTACACTATCAGCGTGCCTTCCTTTTACTGTTCTAAGATGTCAAGAGCACTTCTACATGGATTTTGGGGAAAAATCATTTCATAATTGAAGTATGACTATAGCTGTCTGAGGCTCAATGTACCTTGCCCCTGAGCCAGCTATGGCATAGAGAAACATAACTCCATTTTGCCTCTGTCACAACTGAGGCCTCATCAGATTCATGAATTTGTAGTACTCACCCACAAGATTACATCAGCTGAAGACATCCTTGTTCTTTGAGAACCAAGTAGTAAAACAAAAGAGAAAGGTTCACCTGGGGAGGGACCAATTCTTTGTCAAACTTAAATCATCCCAACCACTATTGTTAGAATGGTCTCCATCCAGTCCTGCTCAAAGAACCTCATAATTTAAGATCTTAATCAGCTCCTCATTATTTTAGGATTACCGCTACACTCTAGGTCACCTGATGCTCCCCTCCAATTATTGGATGTACCCAATAAGTGATGGCTAGATTGCAGACTCATTGCTTTTGCCCTCTCTGAGGCACTGACCTCCCAGCCCCCAATAAGCTTTGAAATTATGCAAGTTTCTATTGTCTTTTTTCTCTTTAGCCATCTTCATTCCTCTTTCTAGGTAGTGAGAGGATTGATCACCCTCTGATACTAATCAATACTTAATCCTAAATTTTCATGACTGAAGGTAAGATTCATGGTTTTAGTAGCAACATGAAAAATTTACATAACTTTTACTTTTTACCTCTGCAAGAGAGATGGATTATACCCAATTCATGATTTAACTTAGGAACTATAGTGGTATGTGTATCTGGCTCTGTGGTGTATGTGTTTTCTTGTGTTGGGTATTTTCTTTTCTTTCTTTTTTTTTTTTTTTTTTTTTTTTGGTACCAGGGATCAAACTCGGGTCCTTGCACTTGCAAGGCAGGCAGCAGAACCACTCAGCCAAACCCCTGGCCCTACTATGTAGTGCAGTCTAACATCAAACTCATGGTGATCTTCCTGCCTCAGCCTCACAAGTGCTTGTATTACAGTCATGCACACCCACACCCAGCTCTTGTGTTGGTTTTTTTTTTAAGAGAGAAAGAAACACATCTCCTTTTCTCACCCTAGCTCCCCTTCCCTGTTTCCAACATTACCGCTTTCCCATTTGCCATTTTTGTTTTGTGTGTGTGTGTGTGTCTGTTGTTATTGTTTTGGTTTGCTATGAGTCCAGGTTTTTTTACACTAGAGTCTCTTTATGCCAGCCTGACTATCTGCATCCTCCCAGAAATTTATATCTTAAATTGTTTACCCCTTTATTCTGGGTTTTAATGGAGGACAGTTGAGAAGCCAACATAGAGGACAATCAAGATACATTTGGCCTGGGGATTTAGTTCCATACTTCTACCACCAGCCTCTGCAAGCTCAAGGTCCTTAGTTCAATCCCAATACCCCCCCCCCAAAAAAAAAAAAAAAAAAAAAGACATTCACTGAAGGGCAGTATTGTAAAAGAGGAGGAAACTACCACACCCATGTTCTTCCCCTAAGGATAAATAGCAGTGATTGATATTCTAAATAGGTATCAATCACCTGGGTGAGGACCAAGATCTTTCCAGAAAGATCCTTTACCCACACCTTACCACCAAAAATCCTTGCTCATTCCTTGTATGCTTGCTATGTGACATTTCCCAATTGGATTCCCATTTAATAATGTTACCTAAGCAACTATACATGTCATAATCTAACTGGTTGTTCATAGTTTTGTTCACCTTGTGATTTCTCATTGGATCAATATTACCTAAGTAACTGTACTTGTAGTCTTACTAATTGACTATACTTTTGTCCCACCTGGAACCCACCTCACCTTTATCCCATAAAAGACCTTTGAGAAGTTGAGTGATTGGGTAAATCATTTTTTCAGTCCCCCTTCTGTCTCTCTTAGACAGAAGCTATCTTCCTCTCAATAAATTTTTTCTACTCTTAACCTCCATTGTTCCTAGAATTCTTTCTTCAGTTTTAGAGAATGCAAACTTGCTCTTCAGGTATTTAGCGGGTTTGGGAGTTGCATCTATTCCCCCTATATCACTAGCTCTTAGTCAGTTTTAAAATGATCCTGTTCCATGTTGTAAGGCATTTCCTACTGTACTAAAATTTAGACATAGCTGGTCAGACATTTACATATCTTTTTGTTTGTTTGTTTGTTTGTTTTGTTTTTTTGAGACAGGGTCTCACTATGTAGTTGAGACTGACCTGAAACTCACTGTGTAGTCCAGGCTGGTCTCAAACTCATAGCGATCCTCCTGCCTCAGCCTCCCGAGTGCTGGGATTACAGGCGTGCCCCACCATGCCCGGCTTACATATCTTATTCTATCTCTATGGGTCAAGTCCTCCTGTGTACAAAAAGAAAGCAGTTTAAGAGCAATTCTTCCCACTGAGAAGAACACAAATGCAAGCCATTTCACCATTTTTCTAGTTGAGGAATTAGAGGTGGTAGAAGAAGGAAATAACAGTGGATTTCCAGCAATAGAAAAATTTAAAAAATATTTTTAAATACAACCAGTTTAGAATCAATTAAGGACAGTTGGCTAAAATGAGGGGAAGTTTAAACCCCACTAAGAAACTCACCCACATTACACAAGTAACTGCATGATCAATGGGCTCTTGCTTATACTTGTCACTATTCCAGAAAAGGTGAAAGAAGGCAGATATAGATATTACTATGGCCAAACGTACTTTAGAAAATCTTAAAGACAGTTACATAAAATCAGAGTGCATGTTCAGTTATACAGACCATGTTAAAATAACATCAAAATAGTAAAATAAAATAAAAACAATAAAATCACCTTTTTCTATAGCACTCTCCAAACATACCCTAGTGTCTCTAGTCTCTTTAAAGTTTCTGAATCAAATTTTCTTGTAAGACAAACAGTTCAAGAGTCTTGAAGTTTAGACTGGTTCACAAAGAAGCCTCAGAATGGCTTAAAGCCCCAAATGGCTCACCTATAGCCCCAAATAGAATGAAAGAAAAGATGATTCCCAAGTGCACTTATAAGATGAATTTAAACCACCAATTTAATATGGCCTTATGGGATATTGACCTGCACCAAAATGGCCAAACTGATGCTCTATGTTGGTCTTAAAAAGTGGATCTTTGGCCCTTACATTTCTGTGGTATGGCGCAGCAACAGAGGCCCCTTTCTTCATAGCTTGTGAGATGCAAAGTGGCTAGGTAGTGTGCAGTTTCTAGACAGTACTAAAACCCCACTGCCCATCCTAAAATAAAGGTGGTCAGGAGAAGAGAAATATAAAAGAAACCAAAGCATACCAAGCCAAATGACTACTCAAAATGATCGTGAACAACATGAAATGCCTGTAAAATATGCAACCTCTCATCTCTCCTCACACTAGTCAGTGGTACAAAATGTAGCTGGTCCAAATAGTATGGCGCTAACCTCATCTAAATGGCACTGAGAAGCAACCTGAAGAGAAGGTCAAAATGGTAGGGACGGTAGATCCCAGAATGCACTGTGGAAAAGCAGGCTGAGCACTTTAGCTCTGGAAATAAATACGAAGAGGAAATGAGGGAGAATTTCTACATGCAAATGTCCCTAGCAGCTCCTGGAATGTCCCTCAACTATTGATTATGGGTTCAGCTAACCAGGAACAATAGGTTACTTTTCCCAAGGGCCCACTGCCTTCCTAGTAGGAAATAGGAGACCCATTGATCTCAAAAGCCAGGGTTTAACTCCTGGCTACCAACACCAAAACTGTTAGTGGCAACATAGGTCTGTATGCTGAGGTTCTTTTGTTTACTTCTGGGCAAATCAAAGGAGACCCTTTATTTATTAAGTAAAAGGAAAAAGAATATATCCAAAGCTATCTTCAAGGGGATGAGGGGCCTTTTCACTCACATCACCATCTTACCTTGTACAGATGTGTTAGGGCCTTGTATTTAGCAAGAACTGTAAGGGGAGGAAATACAATGAGACAATAGATATGTCCAGAATTGTTTCACCCCCTTTTAAAACAGACCTCTCCCTTCCTTGCCTGTACAAATAATACTGGATTTTGATCTCCTGGTACCAGCACCTACATATTCTGTACATTCATCTCAACTAAAGAGAGATAGAGTGGCAGCTTGTGCCCCAAGTCTGAGGAATTTTAGAGAAGCCACTTGTCTGTAGAGAAAAAAAAATTAACATTTAAAATTCCGTATTTTGTGCTCACTTCGGCAGCACATATACTAAAATTCCGTATTTTTCCTGCCTATAACACAGGTAGCAAAGCTAATGTTGACATACATGTCAAGGCTTCAGTGGAACATTTAAAGCCACATCTAAAGGGAGCCGTATCTAAAAATTTGAAATACTTCATGATTTTTCCCACTAGTGAAGAAAGTAGTTTGATTAGAAACAGCTTTTTTTTTTTTTTTTTTTTTTTTTTTTTTTTTGGGTTTAATTTTTTTTTTTTTTTTTGTACTGGGGATCAAACTTGGGACCTTGGGCTTGTGTGGTAAGTGGCAGAACCATTGAGCTAAATCCGTGGCCCTGTAAACAGCTTTTATGCTATATGTCCTGATTTGAAAGTATATTATTAGTCGGTTGTCAGGTTATTTCACAATTGTAACTGTTAGATAAAAAGAGCCAAAAACTAGGACCAAACTGGAACCATAAGAAGCCTTTATCTGCCAGGCTATCCCTGAACAAAGGAGGAAAAAAGCAATATGGCAGAACAGGTGCTTCTTTTATAGGAGGGGAGTGGGGTAAGCCTGAGCTGTAACCACATAATTCTGTAATCTTTAAATTTCTGACTGTGATTAATGTGTATAGTTCTGGGTAACTAGATAAGGTCTGTACCAAACATAGAGACCCAGAATTAATTTCTTCACTCCTTGTTTGCCCGAAAAGCTTTTAAGATCTTAGACCATCTTGTTGGCATCTGTTAACCATCAACGTGTGGCTGCTGAATACGTGACAGCTGGCCACCAGTGCTAATCAGCAGACCATTAACTTTTGCCACCTGACTGCAAGCTTTGACTGTTAACTCCCCCTGTATCACCTTATAAGAAGACCTCAGCCCCTGAGCTGGTGCCTCTCTGAGCTACTTGGCTCTGGGAGTGCCGTCTGTCTAGGCTAATAAAAGTCTGTTTCACTTTCCAGCTTGTCTGGTGTGCTCCTTCCCGGCTGTTTCTCATGGCTGTTGAGCTCCTCGGAGCAGTTGGTAAGGCTCTTGGTCTTATATTTAGAAGCCTCGTAGAGGTTTTTCGGCAAGTAGACTGAAATTGGCTATCCATAGATGAAGAAAGCCCACAAGCCCTAGGAAGGACAGGATTTCAGCTTTGGAGAGGGGACTGGGAGATCCCAAATGAGTGGTTTATGGACTAAGGTGATTTCCCATTGTTCATATGAAATATTTACCCCCAGGTATTTCACTGTGAGCTGGGAGAGTTGGGCTTTATCTTTTGAGACTTGGCATCCTCTTTTGCACAGAAAATTGAGTAGTAAGGCTGTATATTGTTGGGAGCTTTTAAAAGTGGGGCTGCACAAGAGCAAGTCATCTCATATTGAAGTAGCTTAGAGGGAGAGAGATCTAATTTTGAGAAGTCAGGAGCTAAGGCCTGTCCAAAGAGGTGTGGGCTATCCTGAAACCCTGTGGGAGGACTGTCCAAGTAAGTTGTTGAGAGTGTACCATGTCAGATTGGTCCATGTGAATGCAAAAAGGTCTCATGAGTTGTGGTATAAAGGGATAATGAAGAAAGCATCTTTGAGGTCTAGAATAGTAAAATAGCATGAGGAAGACAGAATATGAGACAATAGTGTAGGGATTGGGAACCACTGGGTGTATAAGAAGTACAGCAGAATTAATGGCCCTTAGGTTCTGTACCAAAGGGTAGGAACCCTTTGGTTTTAGGACTGGGAGGATGGGCATGTTGTAGGGGCAATGAGTTGGTCTGAGAAGTCCCTCATCAGTTAGGTCATTGATTATAGATTTTAGCCCTTTTAGGTGTCTCAAGGCTAAGGGGTATTGTGGGACATTTGGGAATTGGGTGGTATACTTGAGGGAGATCTGAATGGGAGCATGACGTCTAGCAACAGAAGGGGTGGAAGTGTCCCAGGCTGAGGGATCGACATAATGGATTATGGAAGGAAATGAGGTTGGGATGGGGATTGAGACAGTCACAGGAGCAGCAAGATGCCTGTAGGGTCTGGATGACTGGGTGTAGAATGAGTAAGTCCTTGAATTTGGTTAGGATATCTCTTCCTAAGATTGGGGTAGGACAGCTAGTAATAACTAAGAAGCTGTGTGAAAATGTGCTGCCTTACAGAGAACACACTAGAGGAGGGGTAGTCAGTGGTTTTGAAGGAATCCCTCGAACCCCCATGATAGTTATGGTGGAGGGACGAGTGGAGTCTGAATATTTTGGTTAAGGCCAGATATATAGGCCCCGTGTTGAGCAAGATTGAGATAGTCCTACCTGAGATGCTGACAATCACCTTGGGCTCATTGGAAGTGATGACCCTGGGGGCTATAGACAACCCTGGGCACCATCAATCCTCTGTCACCAGGCCAAAGAGCTCTGGTAGAGACGTCTCTGTACCTGCTGTTTGGTCTTGAGAAGGGGATGGCCTCTTACCATTTTCGCGAAGGGGACAGTCAACCCTCCAGTGACCCGTTTGTTTGCAGGCAGGAGAAGGGCCATGTGATGGTCTAGTATTGGGGCATTCTCTAGCCCAGTACCCAGTGTGTCCACATGTAAAACAGGCCTCAGGTGGAGAGCCATCATGAGGGAACATCTTCTTTTAGGACAGTGGTTTATGCTGTAGGGCTGCTGCCAGAATCTGGTAATTAGCCATCTCTTGTTGTTTTGCCTGTTCCTCATGATTATTGAACACCTTAAAGGTAATGTTGAGGAGTTCAGTTTGCATAGCCTCTGGACCTTCTTCTACCTTTTTAATTTTTTTTTTCTGATATCAGGCAGACTGTGCAATAAAATGAGTATTAATAAAAATTGTGCCTGCCTGGGATGTAGGATCGATTTTAGTATTTTTTGGAAGGCATCAACTAAATGGGAAAGAAACTGAGATGGATTTTCCTGAGGTCCCTGGGTTATTTCGCTGATCTTATCAAAATTAACTGTCTTTTGAGAGATCCTCTTTAGGCCTTTGATGACACAACAATCATATGATCTTGAAGGTCTCTGCCTGTGTCATTATCCTAATAAATCCAGTCAGGTTGGGCACCTGGAACTGCCTGTGTGCCCACTAATTTGGTCAGGTCTGTGGCATGGAAGTCATCTGTTGCTGCTTGAGATAACCTCTAGACTATCTGGTGCTACTCTGGGGAAAGAGCAGTTGAGAGAATTGTGTAGCTGTCCCACCAAGTCATATCATAGGACTGAGTAAAGTAGCAAAACTCCTTAATATAGATATGAGGATCAGAGAAAAAGGAGCCTAAATGTTGTTGTTTTTTGTTTTGTTTTGTTTTGTTTTTTTAATTTGAGAAAGGTCAGAGAAAGAGAAAGAAACATGTACTCTAACAATGCCCTTGGTGCCAGTGACCTCTTGGAGAGGCATCTGTGTGGCTGGGGCCAAAGCTGGAAGGGTGGGATATTGAGAATGAATGTGAGGTTTGGAGATATAAGATGGCACATGTGAAGGAGCATCACAAGATGGTGGAGCTGGAGAACGGGCACAAAATGGCAGAGGAAAAGAAGGGTTGCAAGGTAGTGGAAGTGAGGAAGGGTCACAAGATGGCAGGGGTGAAGAAGGGGCACCCAAGGAGGCAGAAGAAGTACTGACAGGGTTGTAATGAGGAGGAGGTGTGAGTGGAGAGGGATCAGCTGGATCAAATACATCAGAATCAGGAAGGGTAGGGTCAGGAGGGGGGATGATGGATCCTGGGCTGTAAGTACCTGAGAAGATGAACAGTTTTGACAGAGAGAGGGGTGAGAGCAGAGGAAGAAGAAGGCTTGTATATAGGGGATTTCTGACCATTTGCCATTGCGTTGACAAAAGTTGCGTAAATCATGCAATGTGTTAAAATCAAGAGTGCCATTTTCCAGCCATTGAGAGTCATTTGTACTGAGGCCAAACTTAGTTGTAATAAAAAATGAGCCATTTTCGCTTAAAGTCAGGACCCAACAGTCCAAGGGGATGAAGTTGTGCCAGGAGGCAGTCAAGAGGCACTGAGGGAGGGGTTTTAGATTATTGGGTGCCCATGTTAGGGTGGGTGATGAAGAATTAGCTCCCTAGGAGGAGGGCAAATGAGAGGAATGTCTTTGTCGCTTTTTTATACTCCTCAAGCCAGTCCCCAGAAGGGGAGAATGAGAGGAGTCAGGCTGATAGAGCATCCCCCAGAGACATGGTCCTGGGCCCAGTGGCTCGAGAGGGTCTCTCTGACCAAGAACTTGGATTTCTAAGTAGTCCCCAGAGAGAGAAAACAAGAATGACATAGAGGTCCTGAGTAGAGGGAAGCTAACTCCCTGTTCACCCTGAAATCAGTGACCGGTGTAGATGTGTATCGTCAGCAATGGCAAAGGTAGAGAGCCCCGCGGAGGTCCTGGCTCGGCAGATGTGGTCCGGAGGAGACCACTGAAAGGCCAATGGACCCCGGCCCGTGGGGGATTGTCAATTAATCAACTGCCTTCCTCTCGGGGTTTCGGCACCAGATATGTTAGGTAAAAAGAGCCAAAAACCAGGACCAGACCAGGACCATAACAAGCCTTTATTATGGAGAGGACCTGCCCGGCTATCTCTGAACAAAAGAGGAAAAAGCAACACGGCAGAACAGGGGCTTCTTTTATAGGCGGGGGTGGGTTTAGCCTAAACTGGGGTGGAGTGGGGTGAGGTAATATTAAGAGATTGGAGGAGACTGAGACATCACTAGGAGGGGCTTTGCAACATCACAGCTGCTAGGAGGCAGCAAGTATCAGGTTACTCTTTTGGCGGGAGAAGAGGCATGATGGGAAGAAGAAGCCTGTCCTTTGTTGGGAGAAGTCATATTTTTGTTTGTTTTTTGGGTACTGGAGATCAATCTCAGGTCCTTGCACTTGCGAGGCAGGTGGTGAAACCACTGAGCTAAATCCCCAGCCCTGGGAAAAGTCATTTTTTAACACGGAGGCTGCTATTCCATGTAGCAGCCATCTTAAGGCAAGGTAAATCTAACAGTAACATCAAGCCTGAGTTCATAAAATTTACATTAACCTGTAGGCAACCCTTGGATTTGGCAAACTGTTAAACGTTAATTCCCTGTTTGGTGATAATATAGGGATGATATAAGGATCTCCAAATGATATAGGGAAAATATTGTAACTCCCAATCTGCTAGATGTCTGATTCATCAAGTTTGTGTTCTCTAAAATCAAAGAATGAATTCTATGAACAACAGAGGTTAAGAGTAGGAAATACTGCGTCAGCATTTAGCTCAGTGGTGCCACCACCTGCCTCACAAGCACAAGGTCCTGAGTTTGAACCCTGGTACAGGAAAAAAAAAAGAATAGGAAATATTTATTGAGGGATAGACATCTCCTGTCTGAGAGGGAAAAGAGGGGACTTGGAAAGTGGGTTGCCCATGAGCCCACTTCTCAAACAAGTTTTATAGAGCAAAATCACGAGGTGGGCATAAGGTAGGACAAAAACCATAGTCAACCAATAAGATTACAAGTATACTCAAGTATACTCACTCAGATAATATGGACCCAATGGGGAAGTAAGTCAAGTAGCAAGTGTACATGGAAAGAACAAAGGCCTTTCCTGGAAGAGAAGAGTCAGGAGGTCTTGGTCCTCTACCTTAGGTGACTGATGCCTATTTAGAATATCAATCATTATCATTCCTTCCTTGGGGAAGTATATAAGTAAAATCATTTTTATCTTTATCTTTTTTTGTTTGGTTGGTTTTGGTTTTGGTATGGGATCGAACTCAGGCCCTTGCCCTTGTGAGGCAGGCAGCGGAACCACTGAGCCAAATCCTCATACCCATTTTTATCTTTATTTTAAGGACTGGCCTTCAACAAATATACCTCCAACCACAGTTGTAATGTGTTCTCATCTTCTACACTGACTTGTTCCCGGGCCTAGCCCTCTCTGACTGCCTATAATATTTAGCTGTCCATAATAGTATTAGTCAAACAGTAAGGTACATGAGCCTCAGCATTTATTATATCTGACTAAGAAAAATGGATGACTTGGCAGATTTTGTCCTTCAAATTGAAACCATGTCAAA